AAGGGGCTGAGATGGTTGACGTTTTTGGTGAGCGGAGGCAGATTCCAGAAATCAGCCTGCGGTACACGAAAACGGAGCTATTTTGGAGCTGTTTTGCTCGGTTCGGTGAGCGGTCGCTTTGTAACGCTGTAGCTTGTTCGAACTTCCATTTTTACAAGCAAAATGACTCAAAACCAAGGCAAAACAGGCTGCTAAGTAGTTGTACATGTATATGAGAGCGACGAACGGTTCGTTGAACGGAGTTGTTGCGGGTGCACAACGACCGTTCGTGACATTCTCCCCCACTTAAACTGTCGACGCCCTCGTCGACGCTTGTTGGTAGTTGTTGATGATTTCTTCTTCATGTCGCAGGGTGTCTTCAGGCTCCCAACTGGCTTTAGTTCGGGGAAGCTTTCGCCACTTCACCAAGTACTCTGTCTGCTCAGCACAAATCGCGATCCGAGGAGATAGTGTCGCCAAACTCGTAGACAGTGGATCACCGCTGTCTTCTTCTCATGCACTGGATATCGCCGCTCAGTCTCGTTGAGTTTGCGGCTCTCGTAGGCCACCGGATGACCCTCCTGCATGAGTACTCCCCCAATAGCGAAGTCCGAAGCATCTGTATGGACTTCAAAAGGCTCCCCATAGTCTAGCAATTTGAGTACTGGTTCTTCCATAACAGCAGCCTTCAGATCTTGGAATGCTATTTCACATTTGTCACACCACTTCCAAGGCTGTTGTTTCTTCAGTAACTCCATCAGTGGAGTTGCACGCTTCGAGTACCCCGTTATGAAGCGTCGATAGTAGTTGACGAAACTAAGGAAGGATCTCAACTCTGGCACCTTCTTTGGAGTCCACCATTCCGCAACCGCTTGCACGTTCGACTTATCCATCCGAATAGAGCCCTCACCGATTCGATGCCCCAAGAATAAGATCTCAGTTTGAGTAAAGTGGCATTTCTCCCTTTTCACGAACAAAGTGTTCTCCCTGAGAACCTTGAAAATTGTCCGAAGGTGTTTGACGTGCTCCTCGAGCGTTTGACTGTTGACGACTATATCGTCCAAGTAGACGACCACGAACATATCCAAATACTCCTTGAATAGCTGGTTCATGAGAGTGCAGAACGTGGCCGGAGCATTGGTTAAGCCGAAAGGCATCACCTAGAACTCAAACGCTCAATACATGGTCACACAAGTAGTCTTCGCTTCGTCGCCTTCAGTTATGTGTACCTGCCAATACCCCGACCGAAGGTCGAGCTTCGAGAAATACTTAGCTTTGCCCAACTAGTTAACAAGTCCGCGATGAGCGGGATGGGATACTTGTTCTTCACTGTCACTTTGTTAAGGGCTCGGTAGTTGACGCATAATCGGAGGCTCCCATCTTGTTTCTTCTTGAAGAGAACTGGAGCTCCGAAAAGTGCTTTAGAGCTGCGGATGAGACCATCACTTAGCAATTCACCTAACTGTTTTCTGAGTTCCGCCAACTCTGGCGGGGACATGCGGTAGGGTGGTCTCGCTGGAGGCTTCACTCCTGGCTCCAGCTCGATGCTGTGATCCACGCCTCTGCGTGGTGGAAGAGTCTTCGGCAACTCGGGTGGCATAACGTCATTGAACTCTTTCAGGACGTACGCCACCACAACAGGTTCTTGAATGGCCTTCTCGTTGAGTGGCTCTAACTTCATAGCAGCCACGAATGTTAATTCGCCTTTTCGCACCCCTTTCTTCAGTTGTAATACCGATATGTGTTGTGGCTCCTTGGTTCCTCTCCGAGAGACGGGAACCACGCAGGGGTCGTCACCTCCCATCATACATAGGGAGTTCAAGAACGGCATTGGCACCAACTTCGCCGCGTGCATAAACTCCATTCCAAGAATCACTCGGAAGTCATCCAATGGTATGGCCATCATGTTGGTGTTCCCGCTCCATGTCCCGATTTTGATGGGAACTCCCTTCGCCAACCCGGAGATTCGCATGGCCTCTGAGTTCACCGCCTTCATTCGGCTTGGGCTCTTCTCTAAGATCAACCCAAGTCGCTGTGCTTCTCGATCGGCTATGAAGTTGTGGGTAGCGCCCGTGTCCACCATTGCACGGGTCGTTTGGTCATTTAGCTTGATGTCCACATACATCAGCTCACTACTTCCTGCTTTTTGTAGCTTTGTCTTGATGTTCTCCCCCACTTGACCCCGCATGGCGTTCAACAAACGCATTGCTCCCATTCGGGGTCCTTGCGACTCCTCGTCGTCGCTGCTGGATTCAGAATTGCTCGAACTAAGAGCAACAGCTTTGCCCTTGTCCGATCGGGGGGGGCGGATGGAAGCCGTCAAAGCATTGAGTGACTGTTTTTGTGGGCACTCCCTCACCATGTGCGGTCCTCCCTACAAGAAACATCCTCCAGGTTTTGAGGCCTTGCCTTTCGGGTTTGGCCCTTTGTGGGAACTCTTCTTCTTTTGTTCGCTCCCGAGCTCCTTCCCTCGAAAATGTTTTGGAGGGCGATTGCCTGAAGATTGTTTCCTTCTCCCTGGGTCTTCAGAGGAAAAAAGTTGGTGAGCCTTTCTGCAGCAGCAATTGCCCTGACCACATCGGTAACATTCCTTCGATTTAGCTCATGTTGAGCCCATGACTTCAAACCATCGAGGAAGCTGAACAACTTGTCCTTCTCGGACATGTCCTGTAAGTCCAGCATTAGTGCAGAAAATTGTTTCACATAGTCTCGAATGGTGGTACTCTGGCGGAGTTGTCTCAACTTCCTTCTTGCTATGAACTTTGTGTTCTCCTGTAGGAATTGAGTTCTCAACTCTCGCTTCAAGTCCTCCCATGTGTCGACTCAACACCGACCTTGTTGGATCTCCTCCCAACAGGTTCGCCACTAAAGTTTCGCATCTCCGTTCAGATACAATGTTGCTATAGAAACTTTGGTATCTTCAGAATCGGGCCTCGTAGCTCGAAAGTATTGTTCCATGTCGAACAGAAAGTTCTCGAGTTCTCTGGCATCTTTGGCCCCTCCATATCTATGAGGCTCGGGTGCCCTTAAATTTTGTGGCGGTGCAACGCGGGTGTAGCTTCCTCCCGCATTTAGTGCTCTAGTGAGCATAGTCACCCTTGAAGTGAGTTCTGTCACAACTTCCTGCAGGTGTTTCACGGAGTCTTTGGTGCCATCTGACAGTCGGTCGACTAGGGCCTCGACCTTGTCGATCCTGGACTCCGCTTCCTCTTGCGAACTCTCTACCTCGACAAGCCTTTGTTGGCTATGATAGAGTTCCTCCACGCTCACTTCAAGAACATCCAGGCGGGTTTTCGCTGTTGTGAGTCTCTCCTAGTGACACTTTTTCCCAGTTAGCGCTCCAGATTGCGCTTCCTCCGCTCGCGGAGAGTAGCCAACTTCTCGCTCATCAAGTTCGCTACCGCGCTCCTCTTGAGCGGCTCCAACAGCATGAGAGCGAGTGTGCACATGCAGCCCACCTACGGCTGCTTGGGGCAAGGGTCCGGCTTGCCCCGTCTTGCTTGATTCACCACGATGCTTTGCCATGGCGAAGTTGCGAAGTTCCTTCGCTGCTCGCTCGAAGTGCTTGTCCGCTCTGATACCACAATGTCACGACCTTAGCTTGCGGTCAAGACACGAACTTAGCTTGCGTTGCCTAAGTCGCGCTTCGCCCTTGCGATATTGCTCCGCAAAGATCAGCCCACTTGCAACCTCTCGTAGGTCCCGAAGGACCTGTAAAAGAGAAAGTTGATTAGTTCGAAAGAACGAGCAACGGACAAGTCCCGAAGTCTCGCGAAAAGTGGAAGCAATACAAGCAATTCAGCGAGCACCTTGCGTGCACAAGAGAAAAGAGGGAGAGGGGGAAAACAAGGCTTTAGAAGGTTGAACGAACAGCTGCTCACCGAGTCCCAGGCGCGACAACAAGTTCCCGTCAAGGCAACGTGCGAACTTGCGAAGGAGTGTTCAACGCCCGGTACTATACCGAAGCCCCATCCAACCCTGTGCCACCCGGGGAGTTCCAAGGGGCTGAGATGGCTGACGTTTTGGTGAGCGGAGGCAGATTCCAGAAATCAGCCCGCGGCACACGAAAACGGAGCTCTTTTGGGCTGTTTTGGGGTTGTTTTGCTCGGTTCGGTGAGCGGTCGCTTTGTAACGCTGCAGCTTGTTCGAACTTACATTTTTACAAGCAAAATGACTCAAAACCAAGGCAAAACAGGCTGCCAAGTAGTTGTACATGTAGATGAGAGCGACGAACGGTTCGTTGAACGGAGTTGTTGCGGAAGAGAAAGCCTCATATCTATGGTTTCATACTCTTATCCGGCATTAGTTCTTCCCTTGTAAAATAAATTCCTTATTCTCCGAGAAAACACACATCAATCTAGGAATGATAACAAGTCTATAATAATAGTAATAAAATTATCATCATTAATATTCCTTGGTAAGTAAAACTTAAGTCTAGTCAAATTAGATCAAAATGACTAGGCATCACACAAGTTTAAATTTTGAGGTTTTTGTGAGACTAACAATTGCACATGGTAAGTGTAACATTCGGATTTAGTCTGACGTTAGAAATGAGATGATGTTTATTATGATATATAGGCTAGATGGACCCACCATCATTATATCAGAGGACTAAAGCATTTTGGGTTACATGGTTTTGCACTTTTCAATTAATTAATTCAGTTTTTCCATTGGGTCAAATTGAGTCAATTGGAGCAAAGGTAACTAAGCGGACAAACATAATTAGGATTTTTTTAATAAGCCGAGTATCCTAGAATTTGTTTTTTAGATGAATATGCTAAATGCAAATATAGAAGTATTCTTAGGATTTAAAGTGCAGGATAAATCTGGTAGTATCTGGTTTTGATGACTTACCTTCCATCTGCATTTTATTGTTTTCATGGTTGTTGCAGTATTTTGCTTATAGCTTGATATGCTCTATCCAGACCTGCTACAAAAGCTAGTCGCTATGTTGATTGATCCTTGGTTTCATCATTTTCTCTTCTTCATGTAGTTTTTGTTTCTTTTCATACCATTTATCATTTGGTGTGCAGAATGTTTTTCCTCTCATGTAGTTCGTGTTCTTTTCCACAACATTTATCTTCTGTTATGCAGAACAATGCAACAAGGAGGATGCACGTGTTCTTGTCCACTGTAAGTTGGGAAAAAAATTGGTTGATTTACTTAACTTGTGTGTTTGTATATGAATATCATATGCGAATCATCTGTATCATTGTTATCTTGTGGCAGGTCACCTGCAATTGTAATAGCCTATTTGATGAAATGCAAAGGATGGCCACTCGCATGAAGTTTTCAATGGATTAAAATCGGTGACCTATCCCCAGGTGATATTAGTTTGCATAAGTTCATTTTTGTTTCATTATATTTTTCCTGTTTTGGTGTCCTTTTGGCTTCGGATAGAGAAACGAATGACAAATTTTTGAAGGTAATGGGTTTTTTACTCTTTCTTTCTTTTATGGAGGATCCACAAGCAGTTTAGAGCTGTATAATAATTGTAATGCCAAGTTATTCCTTTTTTAAGCTGTCCATCAGACACAAGATTTTTGGATCCCAGTGAAAGCCACTACCACACAGCCTGTACTTGTTCTTGAATCACTTTGCGTCTTCTGGCTTTGAATTCTCCCAAGCAGTCAATCCATCTCCATTATTAATGTTCAACCAGCCAACTGCATCATCCATCTTCGAACGATCAGTTACAAACACCTGCCTACATGACACTTTTTGTTTTTCTTTTTTTGTGGGAGCAGGAAGAAACTTGGAGTGGATAGGAGATGGAAAACAATGCTTCTGTAGTCGTCCCTCCTACTGACAGCTCCTGAAGAATTAATGAAAGCATCTGGATCTGGAGATCCCATCCTATTTGCATCTAAAAGACAGGGTTCTGAGGTCTGTGATCAAAAAGTGTTGGAGGAGAGATGATCTCTTTTTTTTCTTTTTTCTTGTAATTTTCCTTCTTTCCAGGCTACTGTAACGCTTTAAGAACGAATGAGTTCGTGGTTCACAAGATGACCAAACCAGTTTTCCTCGTAATGCTTCTTCTTTCGGTGTGCTAATATGATTCTCAACATACTTGTGTGTTCCATTGGAAAAGATTGTCACTCCTTGCCAAAGTACCCATCGAATAAATTCAATTCGAAATAGATCGAATTTTTGACATGATTAAATTATTTAAATCTTTTTTGGGTTACTTCTAAATTTAGATGGGAGATTACTTTTAAAAAGAATTGATTTCTAACTTAAGTCAAGAAAATAGAAAGTATATTAAAGTATCTCAAAAATCTTTGTGATTAATTAGGGTTTTCATTTGGCATGTGGGAATATCAAAAGTTTTATTTTTTTTAAAAAAAATTATTGATAAAAGCGTTAACACAAATCAAAAGATTGAAGTCCATAAAAAACATGCGCTAATATTTAATATTTAGAATTTTAAATATTAACATTCTCTATACAAAGAGTTAAGAGAGGGAGCACCAACTTCATGCCACTCTTGAAGACGATATGTGCTAACAACTCTAATTACGAAAGCTTTTTTCATGAGGATACAAGGTGAAAAGAAAAAGTTAAATTCAGGTAAAAAGTCGAGGATATCAACCATTAGGTATCATTTTCGGAGTGGAAGAATTTTTGTGGCTTATCAAATAAGCTTCTCAAATCGAAGATATACTGCTCAAAAGCTTATCTTTTCTTCTGGATATTCTGATGCTTTCCAGGATCAAGATTGGGTGAGCGATTATTAATGTCAAATAAACGCTCAAAGAATTAGAGTTGACAAAAGCCATGTAACATAGGATGGCGTTGACCACATTGAAAAGTTACAAGTTGATTAATGAAAGATTAAAAGCAAAATGCTTCGTGAGTCATAGGACATGCAAAATCAATAGTTGATCAGTAGAGGTAAGGCATTATAACAACCTTGAATCTATGAGGGACTCGATCGCCCAAGAACTTAATCTAGAAAGCATCGGATTGAAGGCCATGAACATAAGAGGATGAGGCATGGTATTGAAGTAGTGAGTCTTCGGAGCACTAATCAAACTCATACTTTAAAGAAGAGAGCATAATTATAGTTGCAAATAGGTTATGGATGATCTTGAAAGTTATGTAGCTAGCTAAAGAAGTACAACTCAAGGAATTTTGGTGAAGCTAATCAAAATAACACAATTCTTCTCACCAATATAGTTGAGCTTGCTTCAATTGGAAGTCCCTTCAAAGTGGTCAGAAATCAACAACCGTCAACTCCTCATCTTTAGGTGATGTGTTAGTCGAAGGTAGTATGTCTATGCATTATCCTCTCATCAAGTTATCTCGTATTCGAAGGAAAGCGTGGACGTAGTTAGAGTAGATGGTGAAGGATTCAAAGATGCAATGGGCAAACTGTACGGGGGAAGGCCATTGACCCTTTCAAGTTTTGTAATATGGTTTGTTATTAGTGTTTTTGTTTTATATTTTTATCATATAAAACTCAAAAATATTTTTAATTGTATGATACCAGGAAAATTAATCAAAACAACTCTGTGCCACATAAATGATTTATGATAGAACGATTAAAACGTCAACCGTCTCACTGCATTTGAACACCGGGTGGCACTAGGGTGGATGGGGTCTTGTTTATATATCTAAGGGTGATGCAACGTCTTTAGTGTATTTATTTTTTGTTTGATGAAAGTACTACATGAACATTAGCCCCACATTTGCCTTCGAAATCCCTTTTGTGTGCACTTGTTCTAACTCATTTTTAAAAATATTTTATGCTTAATAAAAGTTACTTGATTTGTGTTATTTGAGATCCTAATTATATTATTATTTTCATGCACGACGATGACATATCACTTGCTGTGTAGGTCCTTTGTCGACTGCATAGAAAGAACATTTATACTGATCCTTCCGGATAGGTATCGCTCGAGTAATATATATCTTTGATAATCTCAACTAAGGATGTGACAAAGTAGTGTCAGATACATGCGAGAGGCAAGTTATAATATTTATTTTAAATATTAGTATTATTTCATAATTACAATATTTAGAAAATTTCTAAATATTTAATTTAGAAATAGATGAGTTACTATTTTGTTTAGATTTTAAAAATGATATACAAACATAAATTAAATTTTTAAAATTTTGTTTTAGGATTAAAATTAGTTATTTTTATTTTATGTAGACATTCAAATGTTTTATGAAATTATATTCGAATTTTCATTATTTATATATTTTAAAATTCAGAATTATGAACTTGTTGGGTTTTTAATTCATGAAAAAATATTTTGAATTTTTAATTAGATAAATCTATTTGATTGATTGATTCTAACTTTCTGATAATTTTTGCATGTCGAAAGTGTAGCTTTTCAAGTTAAGTTTCTGTTAAAAAGTGGGCATTTCATTGAAATTGGAATGAGAGGTTCAGCTGCTCGGATTCGGTCTGACTCGTGTCCAACCGTAGTTCGGACCGGGTTAACCCAACCCGGATCAAGCCAAGACCCTGGTTGGTTTCGGCGCGGGCTGGGCCTGCAGTCCGAGCAGCCTAGCGTCTGGCTTAGCCTCGGCAACAGCGCCACTCAGTGGGCCGGCCCATTGAAGCCCCGTCTTCGATCGGCTCGGATCTAGCAGCCGGCTCGGCGACCAAGGCGGCTAGGCTTGTCCCCGCCCAGCGCTCGTCGTGGCTTGAACTTAGGCCCGAGGCGCGGTGCGGCCCGGCCTGGTACATTAGTCGCAGCTCAGGCCAACACGGGCTTATCAGGCCCAGAGCTGTGCTGTCTAGGCTTGGGCACGGTCCGCACATGTGATCTGGCTCAGGGCCTCTGCGGCTTGGTTTAGAGTCCGGTGCCGTGGGTGCAGGCTGAGCCCGACCCGAGCCATCTTTGGACCCGTTCAGCTATATAAGTGCCAGTCTTACGGTTCATGAGAGCCCAGTCCCTGTGACCCATAAGCTGGCGGTCGGTGGTGACGGGGGGGCGTTGTGGTTCAGAACGATTTCGGATCGGGTGTTTTTTTGGGAAGGACTAATCTAATATTTCTTTGCTGTTTGCTAAAATGAATGGGGCGTGTCTCTGTCTGTCTGTCATACGTCCACGAATAAAATAAAAAATGAATGGGCATCGAGACGTGCATTTTGTTGTTTGGGTGCCAAAAATTAATATGACAAACAACCGTGGCTGTGTGAAAATTTAGATGCTATCGGTAATTGGTATACGCGAGAGAGACCCTATCGGTTTGGTTCGGACGACGAGAGAAAACCACCATTCGTCCCGCCACCTACCGGAGAGACAGACGGTTGGTTGAGAAGGGTGGATGAAGGAAACGGAATAAACATTTCCTTGTTATTTCGCGTCTACCTCCTTCATATACCTGCCCCTCCCTCCGCCGCACTTCCACTCCCACGTCTCCACCATCTGCTTCCTTCCCCTTCTCTTCTTCACGACATGGCTGCTTCTTTCGGCGGCTCCTTTGCTGCTGCTGCTGCTGTTGTCGCTTTGCTATTGACATCAGCACAAGCGGTGCAACATATAGTGGGCGATGATCATGGGTGGGATGTCTCTTCTGATGTGGCTGCTTGGACCATCGACAGGGTCTTTAGAGTCGGAGACAACATCTGTAAGATCAGATCCTCTCTCTCTCTC